GGGTCTCTGACGCCATTCTCCACCGAAGGCACCAGGCTCCTCAGAGAAGCGGCCGCTCCCCGGACCGAGGCAAGGCACGTGCGGGAGGAGCTGGAGTCTGAGCCACCCCCAGCCCAGAGGGGCCCAAGGGCATGGCAATTAAATGTCAGGTGGGGCCTGGAGGGATCCTGGGACAGAAAGAGGACATTAGGGGAAAGGAAAGTTTGGAATTCAATGAATACAATGTATCATGTTGGTTTATGATGGTAACAATGAACTATACCAACGTTCATAATAGAGGAAATTGTACAGGGCACATGGCAGTGTCTATACTATTTATAATTCCTTATGACTCTAAACCTGTTCTGAAATAAAAAGTATTTTAAAAAAGAAAGAAAGAAATGCGTTCCAGGCTGGCTCCGGGGCGCAGTTAGACCCCGGCAGGGACAGCTCAGGCCCCCATGACGGGAGTTTCCGGCCTAGCCCGCCCGCCCCAGTGTCCCTTCCCCACACCCGCCACCACCGCAGCCCTGGCAGCCCTGGCAGCCCTTCCCAACGGCCCTCTGTGTGGCCAGGGCCTCGTGACTGATCAGTGGCCTGGGAGGGGCCGGGCCCTCCCTGCCTGCCGCCCACCCCCACGCCCTGCCCAGCTCAGAGTCACAGGCTGGGTGGGAGGGTCCCTCCGAGACTCCAGGTCAGCGACCCCTCACACGTGTGGGGACACCGAGGCCTGGGGCTGCCTGCTGCTCCAGCAGCATGTGGCTTCTCGGGCACAGACTTGTCTCGCTGCTGCCGGCACCTGGCCTGGAGCCTCTGCTCAAAAGCGTGTGTCCCACGTTGGACCCCGTGGCACCACACCTGTGGGGGGCCCGAGCTGAACCCCATATGGCTGCACAGGAGGTTTAGGTGTCCGGCAGGGGACCTGCCCCCGTCGGCCCTGCTGTGGGGAGCGGGCCAGATCCTAGGCGGCCCCGCCAGGGCCCAGGCGGCCTGATGGCGCCTAGTGCAAGGGCAGGGCAGGCCTGGAGGAACCCAGGTCCTCTGACTCCCGGACCGCCCATGCCACGCCCGGGTCCCCCGGTGGGACTTCAGAACCCTCACCTGTCCCAGTTCAGCTTGCTGGCAGCAGGGGTCCCCTCTCCCCACCTGCACCCCATCACACGTGTGGAAGGCAGAATGGCGGTTCTCCCAAGGCACCTTCATCCTAACCCCCCTCCCTGCAGTCACGCGAGCTCACAGAGCAAAGGAGGCCTTGGGATGAGAGGGTGTCCTAGGCAACCCAGCTGGGCCCAGGGTCATCATGAGTTCTTAAAATGGCACAATCCTTACCAGCTGTGATCGGGAGACAGTGTGATGGATGCGGGTCAGAGATGCCATGCGACTGGCCGTGAAGACCCGGAGGAAGCCGTGGGCAGAGATACCAGTGCCTCTAGAAGCCAGAAACCGCAGGAAACAGCCCCTTGCTCACTTCTTCCTCCTCGGTGGTCCCAGCCCAGGGCCACCGCATCAGAGCCTGAGCCCCCTGGGCAGCCAACCCTCCCCTCCCCACACCTGTCCAGCCGCTCAGGTAGGTGCTTGGGGTCCTCCTTCCGGGGAACCCAGGGGGAACTGCAGGGCCCTGTGAGGGCTGGGGCTTGTGGCAGGACCACAGGGGGAATTCAACAAGGCTGATACAAAACCAGCATAAAAAATACTGTATTCCTAAATATCAGCCACCAGTAACTAGAAAATAAACCTAAACATAATCGCATGTTCCATACATTTAAACAAAGGTGGGCAAGCTGTCTACCCTAGAAAGGATAAAACATGGCTCAGAGAAATTGTTAAGGCCCTAAGTAGGTAGAGATGGGTCACATTTCTGGGTTGTTAAGATAGCAGCTCTACCCAATATTGGTTTTTAGGCTCATGCAATTCAAATCACTATCTCAGCAGTCTTACTTTTCAAAGAAACAGACCATTTGATTCTCAAGTTAAATTGAAAACGTAAAGGACGTAGCAAAGCCAGGGCGACGAGGAGAATGGATAGCGTGGCGCACTGTCTGCTCAGCCAGGACTCGCCCCGTGGCTACCAACAGTCAGACAGGACTGTACAGGGGGGCGGGGGGACGGGGAGAATGTGACACAGATAAAGGGACAGAGCAGAGCCGAGATGTAGATCCAAAGATTACAAGGTCCTTTGACTCATGAGGACAATGTTGCTGAGATGGAATGGATAATCGGGCACCTTATCAATGCGTGGTGTCCGGCCGATAAGAGCCCGGTGCAGGAAGGAGGGACATGTGGGCCCCACCGCCCACCCTACACAGGAATTCATGGGAGATGGATTTATGTGGAACGTGGTGCTGATGCGATTCAGCTTCTAGAACAAAGCAGGAGAATATCTTCATGATAAGGGGGACCTCGTCAGTAAGAAGGAATGGATCACAAAGGCCCACAGCAACCGGGGTGAATCTCAGAATTAGCCGCCGTCCGATGAGACACACAGGCCCCCTTCCCTGGGACGTCTGGGAACTGGCGAGACCAGCCCCTGGGGGTGAAAGTCACACGGTGGCTTCTCTGTGGGTTGAGTGAACGCTGTATACCTTGTCTGGGGTGCTGGTTACCCAGGCTTTACAATCATCAAAACTCATTGAGAACTGGACTCTCCAGGTCTGTGAATTCTGTTGTAAGTTAGTCTTATTTAATTTAAAAGTAAAACATCTAGATTCCAGTTCTGCTCTGACATGTACAGAACTTGGCAGTGATATTCCCGTCCTCACAAGGCAGAAATGAAGGGCAGGTGATGGCTTGTCCGGGAGCCCAGGCCGCACGGCCAAGCTGCGAGACCCCCTGGAGCAGAGGCTGCAGGGTCTGCTAAGGTGCAGAGGAGGCTGAGCCCAGGGGGCTCGAGAGTCAGAAATGCCGGGGGCCCCAGTCCCGGGAGGCGCACACGGCGACGATTCTTTCCTCCGGGAGCTCTCAGGAAGATCTGAGAAATGTTCCTTCACAGTTCTGGTAGGAGGAGGGGAGATCGCCAACGACGTTCACGGGGGTCCCTTTTCTGCAGCAGCGGCCTGTCCTCAGGGACACACACTCACCGGGCGAGGGGAGAGGAAGGAGACCCACTCAGCGCGCAGGCCACCCCGCAGCTCAGGCATGGAGGCCTGCCAGGCTGCACACGTGGGACAACAGGATGCCCGCTGTCACAGACCTTCCCGTCCCAGCCAGGTCTCCCGTGTGGCCCTAATGAGTCACAGAGAACATAGAATGAGGACGCAACTTCCAGGGAAACCAGAGACAACCGGCACAAACCAGAAGCCAGAGCAAGTAGAGGCCTCACCCACAGCGAGCAGCTCGCCTCAGCTGGGCAAACACATGCTCACCCTGAAGGCTGTCCGCCTGTGCTCTCTGTTCCCATCACCCAGGACCAGTGCCTGGCCCCTGCCTCCAGCCACAGGGCACGCGACAGGCAAGGAAAATGCGGTCTGGAGAGACGAAGGGACAGAACCAGACCTGGATGTGCCGGAGATGTGGGGACCACCAGACTGAGGATTCTAAACGACATGGCGACATGCCAAGGGCTCTAATGGAAAATGTGAGCGCCATGTAAGAGCAGGTGGGTGGCGTAGTCAGAGAGACAGGAAATCTAGGGGCTGGAAAACATGTGGCGGAAATGAAGAACCATTCAACATCTTACCGGAGTCATTTATATGTGCAAATAGACAAGAAAAGGAAATCAAATGGAAGGACTGGGAAGGAAGAAATAAAATCGCCCATTTGAAGAATGTGCATTTAGAAAAGTCCCATTTAGACAAAGAACAGACAAAAACAAATTCCCAGAACTAATAAGATATTTTAGCAAGGTCGCAAGACGCAACACGCCTCTGAGGACAGACCAAGGGTCTCAGTGAATAGAGAGAGCCCTGGTTCATGGATAAGGAGACGACGTCGTTCGGATGCCATATCTTCCCAACTTGATCACAGATTCAATGGGATCCCAATAAACATCCCACAGAATTATCTCATGGACGTCAACAAACGCATTCCAAAGTTTATGTGGAGGGGCAAAGGCGCAGAACAGCCAACATGATACTGAATAAAAAGAACAAATTCGGAGTTCTGACCATACCCAACTTCCAGGTTTATTATAAATGGCAACAATATTGATGAAAGAATTGACAAATAGCTCAATGGAATGGAGTAGAGAGCCCAGAAACAGACACACACGAATATAGAGAAATGATCTTTGGTAAAAGAACAAAGGCAATTCAGTGGAGAAAAAACAGCCTTTTCAACAAATGGTGCTGAAAAACTGGACATCTACTTGCAGAAAGATTAATCTTGACACAGACTTTTCATGAAAATCAGTTCAAAATGGATCACAGACCTAAGGTCAACAGCAAAATTATAATATTTCAGAAGAAAACAGATAAAATATAGATGAATGACCTTGGGTTTGGTGATTTTACATAAAACACCAAAGGCATGATCCATGAAAGGAAACAATTGATAAATTAAACTAAAACTGAGAACTTCTGCCCTTCAAGAGACACTGTGGAGAGAACGAAAGCCACAGACAGGGAGAAATCTTTGCGGAATGCACAACTGATGAAAGACTGGTTTCAAAAATATACAAAGATTCTGAAAACTGAATGGTAAGAAAGCAGGTGACCAATTAAAAATGGGCCAGAGATGTGAAGGGACAGAACCAGAGATGCACTGATGGCAAATGCTCTGCATCCTTTGTCTACAGCAGGGTGGGGCTGGGGTGAGTGCCCACAGGGCACAGGAGGGGCCCCCCAGTTGGCAATGGGGGCTGCGGGGGCTCCAGGTGAACTGGAGGCCGGGAGGCGTGCTGGGGGCCGTGGCAACCAGCAGGCCCAGGGAGAGTGAGGCGGTGGGGTGGACAGACAGGCAGGGTGGTGGCTGGCCCTGGCTGTGGGGGGCGGGGGACAGGGCTGCGGCCCAGGGTGGCTGGCTCTGTCCTCTTCTGTTATCTCACCGTCACTTCCAACTGCCTGTGCCTCTGCGATGACGCTCAGATCCCCCAGATAACGAGGCCCCACTGAGGTCGGCCAGCGGCCCGAGGACACCCAGGGACGGCGCCGTCCCACCTCCCCAGGACTCGGGTCTGCTGTCCGGGCGGGGGCCTGGGGCCTGGGGCTGGGCCTCACCGGCTGCCGCTCTGCATTGGAGGGCAGAACGCCCCTCCTCTGAGCTCTCCTGGTCTGAAGGGATAAATGGGGAGGGAGAGCGGGCTGGTGGGGAGCAGCAGGCACAGGCCAAGGTGGGCACCCTCTCCCCAGACCCCCAGAACTGAGCCTCACATGTGGACCCTGGTTGCTGGGGTCCCGGGGCCCCGGCCTGCACCACAGCATGTGGCCCGCAGCCCCCAGCTCCCAACCGGCTCACGCTGCCCCTCCCCCTGCTCCTTACAGATGCTGCATCTGCTGGCACTGCCCCTCCTGGCCAGCCTGGCCCACACATCCCCTGGTGAGTCCCAAGCCCCAGCTGGCCCTGCCCCTGCCCAGGCACAGCGGAGGGGTGGCTCAGAGGAGCCCAGGGGCCGGGTGGGGTCCCGTCCTGAGGGCGCCTCCTGCCCCAGCCCCAGGCCGGGCCCTGGAGCGAGCAGGCATTGTTGGGGGGCAGGAGGCCCCTGGGAGCAAGTGGCCCTGGCAGGTGAGCCTGAGGTTCAACGAGCAGTACTGGATGCACTTCTGCGGGGGGTCCCTCATCCACCCTCAGTGGGTGCTGACCGCGGCACACTGCGTGGGACCGTGAGTCCAGGGGCTGGTGGGCGGGCCGGGCCTGGGCTCCCCCGACGCTCCGGGCGGCCAGGAGGTGCTCAGGCCCCGACAAGGTGCTCCATCCCCCAGGGAGCCCATGGACCCAGCCATGCTCAGGGTGCAGTTACGGGAGCAGCACCTCTATTACCGCGACAAGCTGCTGCCTGTCAGCAGGGTCATCCCCCACCCCGACTACTACAACGTCCAGGGCGGGGCAGACATTGCCCTGCTGGAGCTCCAGGACCCCGTGAACATCTCCGGCCGCGTGCAAGTGGTCACCCTGCCCCCTGCCTCGGAGACCTTCCCCCCCAAGACACCGTGCTGGGTGACAGGCTGGGGTGACGTGGGCACGGAAGGTGCGGGCACTGGCTGCGCCCACTACCCAGACTCTGGGGTTCCCTGGGGGTGCGGGGTCCCCACAGGGCAGAGGTCGTTGTCCTTCTGATGCTGCCTCCTCCCCTCCCCCCAGTACACCTGCCCCCGCCATACCCGCTGAGGCAGGTAAAGGTCCCCATCGTGGAAAACAGCATCTGTGACGCACAGTACCACACCGGCCTGTCCACGGGGGACAATGTCCAGATTGTCCAAGACGACATGCTGTGTGCCGGGACCAAAGAGAGAGACTCCTGCCAGGTGGGCCCCCGTGTCCTTCCCCAGCCCCCGCCCCACCTCCTGGGCCACTGCTGACCCTTCCCTCCCCAGGGCGACTCGGGAGGGCCCCTGGCCTGCAAGGTGAATGGCACGTGGCTGCAGGCGGGCGTGGTCAGCTGGGGTGACGGCTGTGCTAAGCCCGACCGGCCGGGTATCTACACCCGCGTCACCCACTACCTGGACTGGATCCGCCAGTACGTCCCCGAGGAGCCCTGAGCCCAGTCCCCGGGCCACCACCCGGGTGGGAGGAGAGCGCACCCTCCTGTCCCCACACTGCAGCTTCTGCCTGGCTTCCTGGCCCAGCCGTGAGCCCCCTGCCCGGGAGCTGGCGGCGGGCACAAAGTGCCATAAAGAGCATGTGAGGCAGACGTGTCTGTGGCTGTGTTTCTGGTGTGGGTGTCACTGGGGGAGCGAGGGGGCCCAGGGTCCGCCGGGTGCCGCCACTGCCACTGTGGGTTCCCTGAGAATGGGCATCGCTGTGGGGCGGCTCCTCCAGCCCCGGAGACCCAGGCCACCTTCTCAGCCCACTGGCGGCCGTGTCACTGTGGTCGAGGGGCACGTGCAGTCAGGACACGTTGAGCACCACGGGCCATTCAGAAGGTGATTCCAGGACACCCCTGTGCCAGCAGGGAGTCAAGAGGGCGTGGCGCCCCTCCATACCCCGTGTCCCTTCAGCCACACAGCCCCTCCCTGCCCTCCACGTGGCATCTCCAGGCCCCCCTGCGGGTTGGCATGGGCATGCACCTGGGAGAGCTGTGGCTCCCTGGCCCCGTCCGGGTGACTGTTCTCCTTCCCTCCTTTGCGCCGTGCTCCTCCCTGGCCCCACCGTTGTGGCGCCCCCAGTGCCGCTGCATGTGGCTGATTCTGCAGTGCCCACTCCCCAGTGGACCTGCTCCGGGCTGCCCAGGAGGCTGGGTGTCCCCACCCAGGGCCTTAGGACCAGTGGCCGTGGCCGTTCCTACGTGCACACCCCGAATGTCTGCAGCGTGGGCCAGCTGGGGGCTGCCGAGGTCTGGGGCGTGCATGCATGTGTGTGTGTGTGTGTGTCAGGGCCTTAGGACCAGTGGCCGTGGCCGTTCCTACGTGCACACCCCGAATGTCTGCAGCGTGGGCCAGCTGGGGGCTGCCGAGGTCTGGGGCGTGCATGCCCTGCATGTTCTGGGCCGTGCCCCCTCGTTCCTCCTGCCCCAACAGCAGGGCACAGGCTTCCACGACCCTTCCTCTGTGGCTGGTCTGGTTTGGGGGTGTTTTCATTAAGCTTTCAGTTGATTTTTATATTTGGGGAGGAGGTCCCTTTGACAAGTGGAACACTCACCCTTGGCGTGGAGTGGATGGGTGTCCACTCTCTGGGGACACCCCGAAGCCCACCTGAGCACCCTCCCCAGGGAGCTCGAGCGCTGATCCCGGCCAGTCCCTCTCCGGGACACCTGGCGCCTCCGTCACTGCTCCTGTCCGCACGCCAGCAGTTTCTGCGTCAAGTGGCTGAGGCTTGGTTGCTCCATCAGCACACAGCCCCTGAAGTGCCCCAGTGCACCTGCTTCTGGCGCCCGTCTCCCGGAAGCGGGCGTGTAGCTTCAGGCTCTCTGCCCCTGCCTGCCCCGTGCTCCGCCAGCCGGTGCATCTGGCCAGGCCACCTGGGAGCTTATATTCTCTGGGACACACTGTCCTGTCCTCTGTCAATTGAGCAGTTTGAGTTTCAGATTCCATATTCATTTTTGGATTTTTCTATAAAGTGCTGTGTTCCCCGGGGTTTTGTTTGTTTTTCTGTTTGGACATGATCATGTGCATAAACAAAATACTGAGCTAAATCAACACCATCTCTTAGATGTATTCTGGGTTTTCAGGCTGGAAAGAACATTCTAAATCAATATTTACTTGAACTTTCAGACACAAACAACCTGTAAAGTATCTAGAAAGGACCTCTATTCCCATCAGGGGAGATTCTGAAATGACCCACCAGTCCCTTCTCCAGCCCCACCTGACTTCTGCAGCCTTCAGGAGATGGGGGGCCAGGGGCCAGGAACAGGATGGAGGTGCCGGGAGACACAGGACTTCTAGGGATGGGTGTGGAGGGAGGGAAGGTGGGTAGGCAGGGGCCTGGGGCCCCAGACCAGGGGAGCAGGGGAGGGGCCTTGCCTCTCAGCTTCCCCTTAACAGGCTTCGATCCCACAGGACTCCGCCCAGCCCCACCTCTGACAGGTACGCATAAAAGCGAGGTTGCCTTTTACCAGGGAGGGTCAAGCAGCCCATCCACAGCGCCAGGCTGAGCCATGTGGCACTGAGGGGTCCAGCCCCACTCTGTGCTGGCAGGGCCCCTCCCACGGGGCGCCCTGCAGGCCATGTGGCCCAGGATTGCCAGCTGTGAGGGCATCTCCAGGGCCCTGGCAGGGACACCCTTGGGGACAGGATGCCCCTCTCTGTACCTCAGCTTGCTCCCCTGTCACATGGGCAGAGATGGCTCATGTCACCCAGATGTACCACATGAATGCTCAGAGTTTCTTTCTCAACAGCAGACCTGGACCCCTGGGGCAACCAGGGAGCTGTGGTAAGCCACCTGATGGGGTGTGGGTGGGGAGAGAGGCCCCCGTGCTGCCAGCAAGCTGAGCTGGGACAGGTGAGGGTCCTGACATCCCCCAGGAGACCCGGGCGTGGCATGGGCAGTCCAGGAGTCAGAGGACCTGGGCTCCTCCAGACCTGCCCTGCCCCTGCACTAGCTGCTGTCAGGCTGCCTGGGATCTGGCTCGCTCCCCACAGCAGGGCCAATGGGGGCAGGTCCCCTGCTGGACACCTAAACCTCCTGTGCAGCCGTCTGGGGTTCAGCTCGGGCCCCCCACAGGCGTGGTGCCACGGGGTCCAACGTGGGACACACGCTTTTGAGCAGAGGCTCCAGGCCAGGTGCCGGCAGCAGCGAGACAAGTCTGTGCCCGAGAAGCCACGTGCTGCTGGAGCAGCAGGCAGCCCCGGGCCTCGATGTCCCCACACGCGTGAGGGGTCGCTGACCTGGAGTCTCGGAGGGACCCTCCCACCCAGCCTGTGACTCGGAGCTGGGCAGGGCGTGGGGGTGGGCGGCAGGCAGGGAGGGCCCGGCCCCTCCTGGGACCCTGATCAGTCACGAGGCCCTGGCCACACAGAGGGCCGTTGGGAAGGGCTGCCAGGGCTGCCAGGGCTGCGGCGGCGGCGGGTGTGGGGAAGGGACACTGGGGTGGGCGGGCAGGGCCGGAAACTCCCGTCACGGAGGCCTGAGCTGTCCCCGCCGGGGTCTGACTGCGCCCCCGAGCCAAGCTGCACACCTGCTGCCTGAGCAGGGCCGACGGGGTGGCACCCCTCCCTTCGGAGCCTACAGATCAGGTGGACCTGTCAGGGCGCCAGGTGCCCGGCGCCTCCTCTGCCCTCCCTCCCTTACGCCCCAGCGCTGCCCAGCGCGTCTCGGGCTCGGGGTGAAACCTCCCCTCCCCGCAGCACACGCCCCTAGGAACCACGGTCTCCCGGCCCAGCTGGCGAATGACCAGCCGGGGGTTGGGGCGTTGCCCGCACACTCCAGTCATCTGCTGTGAGTCGTCTTGGTTCCCGTGAACCCAGGAGCTGGAGCTTTCAGGCTGCCACCCTCGCCCAGGGAAGCTGTGAGCCTGGAGGGAGCAGGGGGCTGTCCCTGCAGCATGGACCCACTCTTGAGCTCTTGGCGAGGGGCAGGCTACCCCCACCAGGCAGGGTCACAGGGCCCTCGTCTGCCCAATGGGGCAGCAGGGGAGCCCTGAGCCCAGAGGGCCAGGACACGTGGCAAGTCAGGGGTCAGAGCTTCAGGACAGGGAGATGGCTGAGTGGGTGCCCTGCAGCCCCAGGACTGCCCAGTGGGGAGCCTTGCCCTGCCCTGCTGTGATGCTCCACCCCAGGGCCCCCACCTCTGCCCAGGCCACACCCACGCCTGCTGGGACTTCTTTCTGGGACCAGTCAGGCTTGGGGGACGATGGGTGGATTCGGCTGCTGTCTGAGCTGGTCTGGGGAAGCAGTTTCTTGAGGACACGTGGGCAGTGCCACAGAGACCGCATGGCCCTGGGGTGGCCACCTGGAGCCCGGGGCAGGCTAGTGCCACCCTCCTCCAGGGAGGACCTGAGGACAGCGGTCGTGAGCTTGGTTCTTAAATAAGTTAGTATTTATTCCACGTTGCCTCGATGACCCTCACCGCCCGCCCACTTCCCCTTCCCTTCTCTTGAGAGGCTGAATTTTCTTCATCAGATTATTGCAACGTTTAACCTGAATTTATAAGAAATGAAATGAAACAAGGGGTGTTGGCTGAAACTGCTGCACCTGTGCCCCGGGCCGGGCAGCGTGGGTTACTGCGCAGCCCCCCTCCCTGGTGGCAGGGCTGCTCCCCAGAGACCAAGTCAGTGGGTTTCTGAAATGCCCGAGCAGGACAGAATGTTGGGGAGTGGTGTGTGTGAGGGGGACAGAGACAGTGACGAGGGGTGGAGACAAACGGACAAGGACTCAGACTGTGAGTGGTGGTGAAGCGTGGCCAGGGCCCTTGGTGCCACCCTTAGGGCACGGTGGCCCCGAGCGCGATCCCTATAGACTAAGTGGACGACGTGAGGCCGGGCTCCGTCAGACAGCTTGCCTTCCCCCTCCTGGCTGTGTTCTGCTCCCTGCCCCGCAGACGCAGCGCTCTCCTACAGGGCAGCTGGCCGGGCCGCCTGCATGTCCTGGCGGGACCCCCGAACCTGGGCCCGCTGGACAGAGGCCCCAGGCAGGGGGCTGCTCCGCTCAGAACCGGAGGCTGCCTCCCTCTCAGAAGCTGATGCCCGCCTGGGCCCCTCTGCCTGTCGGGAACCCAGACCAGGGTCCACGCGTGGCCTGCGGGGGCCACCACCTGCTGGGAACACCCCAAGCCCAGTGGCAAAGCTTACGTGGCATTGTGCCCTGAGCTACACGGGGCCATCTACACTGTCCCCTGGGGTGGGGGTGGCTAGGGAGCACCCTGCTTTCTCTGGGGGACTCTGAGGGACTTTGAGGTGCAGGCCCTGCCCCTTCTCTAGGGGGTTGCCAGAGGACATGGGAGACTCCGTTTTGTGGGATTCAGGAGGTGCCCGGGCCTCTGAGGAGGAAGCTCTGGGTTCTGGGGCTGCACCACGGCTGCTGTCCAAGAACAGGTCCCCACTGGGGCCCCCCACGTCCAGCGGCTCAAATGCATAGCTGGGGACGGTCAGGTGCTCTGTGCGGCAGTGGGGCTGGCTCCGCCGCTCCCCCTTGGCCGCAGGGTCCCCTCCTGCCGCGTCCACGAGCTCCGGGGCATCCCTGTGTGGTGGGGCCTCACAGGACGGGGTTCTCCGCCGCAGCGTGGTGCTGCAGCCCTCAGCCACAGGGGGCCGGGCTGCGCCCTCGTCCTCTGTGGGGGGGTCTATGGAGATGCAGGGGGGGCTCATCTTCTTCTTTCTGCGTGCCCCCAGGGCTGGCTCCGCCTCTGAAGCCCGGGCCTTCCGTTCCCCGGCTTCCGGGCAGCCTCCGCCCTGCTCCACCGAGGGCTGCCTCTGTTCATCCGCCCAGCCCGGCCGACCTAGGAAGCCCTGGGCGTCGGCACCATAGAAGCCACGCAGGTCTGGCTCTGCGCCCGACACCCCGTGGGCAGCAGGCGAGGCCGAGCTGGTGATGTGGCTGACCTCCTCGTCTGCCGGGTCTGGGGCCTCAGCCTCCTCCCCACCCGGGCCTGGCGGCCGGCTGGAGACACAGTGCTGTCCAAAGGCGTGCTTGTGGGTCAGGACTCTGGTGGGCCGTGGGGAGGTCCCCAGGGATGCCTGCCGGGGAGGCGTCTTCCCGCTGGGCTCCCCCCAGTCCGGGCCACTGTCCCCAGGGCCGTCAGTGTGCCCTTCCAGGGAGTTGGCATGCGTGGCCTCCTGCAAGCACATAGGCTCTGCTAAGGAAAGGGGCCAGGCAGTAGCCAGGGGTACAGGGGCCACCCCATCTGGGGTCAGACTGGGCTTGAGACCCCTCAAGGCTGGGATCCAGGGTGAGAGGGAGCTAAGGACGCTGGAGTCCCTTCCTCCCACTCATGCCAACTGTCCCACCCAGGGGTGCAGCCTGCAGGCAGGTGGCCCCCACCAGGGCCGGTCATGCTGGGGAGGGGCCGTGAGGGGCAGAGGACTGGGGGCCCAGATACCCTGCTGGGCACAAACATGGGCGGAGGTTCCCCCACCTTGTGCACCCCAGGATGAGCCAAGAGTGGGGTGGTCTGCGGGTGCAGGTGAGGCCCCGAAAGAACTGTTGCTGTGGGAGACTGAGGCTGTGGCCCAAGGAGGGGACAGGGGCATGGCTGGGCACTTTGTGGCCACAGGATCCAGGGACATGGTGCCCTTCTGTCCCATCCCTGCTGCTCAGACTTCAGTGGGGAGAGGGACCCCTCCCCCCTGTGGAGCCCCAAGCCTCAGCTGCAGGACTTGGGGGCTGATTCCCACCTGTCTGCGGAGCAGCCGGCTGAGGCTGGGGGAGTGGGCTGCAGCCCGAGGGGGCAGGGCATGGAGGGTGTCGCTGCCCCTGGCTGGGGTGGATGCAGCTATCGGGACCTGGAGGGTTGCGCAGGAGTCCACAGGCGGCGAGAGCTCGGAGGCAGCTGGGTCTGGGGCGGGAGGTGTACGGACCATGCAGCCACCGCCTGGCTGACCCCTGGACCCTACCCTGTCCCCCTGCCCCGCCCTCCGCCCCAGGTCCACCCACGGCCTCTGCGAGGGGCCCTACCGGGGGCTGCGGGGCCCAGGTAGGTGTCCATCTCCACCTCCTGCGGCAGGCAGGGCTGAGGAGCTGAGGCCGGGGCCACAGGCCGGAACATGTAGCTGTCATTGGGCAGTGAGAGCACCCTGCACACAGATGCCTTGCACACGACCAGGGGAGCGGGGGTGCCCGGGCTCTGCTGGGCCGAGGGAACGGGGCGGGCGGGGGGCCCCTGGGCTGCCTCCAGCTCGAGCTCGGCGTCCAGTTCGGCGTCCTCGCGGGCCTCCTTGTTGGTCTCCTCCAGGTGCTTCATGAGCACGGCCACCACCACGTTGACCAGCACGAACTGGGCCACCAGCACGAAGGTGACGAAGTACAGGGGCGATATGGCCGGCAGGTAGCCGAGGCAGTGCTTGTCCTCCAGGGCGCACTCGCGCAGCGTGTCCTGGGGGGACAGGGCGGCTGCAGGCCGGGCCAGGGTCCCCCCGCGCCCACCCCGGGGCCGCACACCGGCCGGTACCTTCATGATGCCGTTCCAGTTGTCGCCCGTGGACACGCGGAACAGCGTGAGGAAGGCCATGCCAAAGTTGGAGAAGGTGGCATGCCTGCTCAGGCCCTCGCAGGGGTTGTCCTCGCTGCACTCTGCCAGGGGAGAGGCCCTGCCTGTCACCCCGCATGTCGCAGGGCGGGGTGCACGCCTGGCGCTGGAGGCCCCCTTCCCCAGGGAGGAGGCCATGCTCCCTCGGGGTACAGGGCCACAGTAGGGTTGGGGATTTGGGTGGGCGGGTGCCTGTAGGGGGCATCTCTGGGGGCCCCTCTCCATTCAAAGCAGGGCGATACGGCTCCTCTTCCAGGTGGAGGCCTGCCTTCAGACTTGGGGCTCTCCGGGTGGGCGCAGTCTCCACCAGCTCTGGCTCAGCCCCAGGACACCACCCTGCCCCTTCCCCAGGCTGCCTCTGGGTCAGCATGCCCTCCAGCCTGCGGAGGGAGGGGCTGCCCCGGGCAGGAGGGGCCCCAGATGCTGGGCCAGCGGCCGGAAGACTGCTCTGGTTACAGCCTGAGACGCCTCGCAGGCAGGTCCCTGGGGGCAGCTGCTGGAAGCCACTCGGACGCTCAGGAGACGCAGAAGGGACCAAGCTGCCACGGAGGGTCCCCGCCCACCCCGCCCACCCCGTCCCAGACCGACCAGCACCTCAGGCCTGGGGGTTCTAAGGAAATCCTCGGTGGAAATTTAAAAGGATGTGTGGCACCATGTGTCCCCTGACACACACAGGGTGTGCACACACTGATGCCCAGTGTGGCTCTCCTCTGGGCAGGGGCGTGAATGCGTGTGCATGTCCACGCGTGGGTCATGCATGGGTCTGGCCCCATGAGTGCTGCTGTGTGGATGCTCCTGTGCATGTCTGCTGTGTTCGCCTAGTGCAATGACGGGCTGAGGGGCCAGGGAGGACATGGCAGCAGGCAGGCCCCACCTCAGCTGGCACCCGAGCTGTGTGGACAGGGCCAGCCCCCGGCCGGGGCAGGGCGGGGCCGCACTCACCCAGCCGCCCGAAGAGCTCCACTCCCAGGGCAGCATAGATAAAAAACAGGAGCATGAAAAGGAGCCCGAGGTTCCCTACCTACACGGAGAGAGAAGCAGAGCAAGTCAGGGGCCTCGGCCCACGGGGGCTCAGTGCCCAGGGTCCCCAAGGGCTGCCAAGTCCCACGCAGGCACTTGAGGAGCTTCGCCCGCCCCTTCCAGCCTTCCTGGCCCCCAGACCCTCCCCAGCCCGCACCCCATCTCGGCCCCTCGTGTCCACCTCCACGCAGGACCACCCTGCTTCTCCACCCCAGGGCCTCGGAGGCCTCCCGACGCAGGGCCTGCCTCCAGCCCTGGGTCCCCACGGTCAGGCCAAGGCCAGAGAGCAGCAGACGGAGGAGCCTTGCAGAGCCCTGTCCACGACGTGGCTCCCCCATGAATCCTCCCTCCCAACACATGTCCGCACTGCACTGGGGTGGGGTGCCCTGCAGTCACGGGCCTCCTATACTCCGATGTGGCCACACCCTTCTCTAGCACCTGCTCCAGGCCCACAGGTGCAGCTGGGCCCAGGCCACCAAGGGTGGGCCCAGGAACCCAGTGCTGAGGAGCTCTGCTGGGGGTCGAGGGTGGGAAGGGGGGCTGGTGGGCATGTGGGTAGACAGGTGCACGGCTGAGGAGGTGGAGACAAGGTGCTTGGCGGGCAGGCACCCGTGCGGAGGGGGTGGCTGGGTGGGCGGACGGCTGTTTGGGGGCAGTTGGAGAGGAAATGGGTACTGCACAGGCCGGGCAAGCAGCCTTTTTCAGCTCAACAAGCCACTGCATCCAGAACCGGACCAGGGGAGGTGGGCACGGGTGGCCAGCCTCCCCCGGCAGGGCTGAGGCCCGCGGCAGCCTGTCTCTCTTCCAGCCTAGCTGAGCTATCCCTGCACACGGGGGTGATGACCACCCATGGATGAGTGACAGTGGTCAAGGCCCTCCCTGCAGCCCCTCGCGGGGCTACCTGCAGCGCCCACCCTTGGCAGTGGAGTGGACCCCGGCCGAGGTGCAGACTCCAGCTTACCTGGGGCAGCGCCTGAACCACCGTGTCCAGTAAGGCGCGCATGCCCGTGGCCATCTTCAGCAGCTTGAGCACTAGGGCCAGGAGCCGAGTGTTAGTGGGGCCGTGGGACTGGGCCGACCCTCATGGCTGGCCAAGCCCCGGGGCCTTCCTGCCCCCAACTCCCGTCATCAGCACCGTCCAGCCGCAGGCGCCTCAGGGAAGGTCAGTGGGGCATCGAGCACCGGAAGCCTGGCTGCCGGTCCTCCCGACAGCCTGGGGCCTGGCGGGGAGGCGGGAGGCCTACCGCGAGCGATGCGGAGCACGCGCATGATGCGTATGATGGTGGGGTTGATAGGCAGGGCAGCGTTCACCTCGATCTCCTCCAGCGTGATGCCCATGATGGACAGCAGGACGATGGCCAGGTCCAGCTGGTTCCACCTGGGCCGGGGGTGGGCGTGGCTCAGCGCCTGCCTCCTCCCCGGCACCCCAGAGCCCCCGAGGCACCCTGGACGTGCTGGTGCCACCCCCACACACTGCGACCTCAGGCCGGGACCACCAGGGAGGGAGGCTGTGGCTCTCATGGGCGCCCCCACCCCCAGAGGCCCCCAGGGGCCCCGTGCACCTGTCCTTGAAGAATCTCCGGATCCCAAACGCCACCAGCTTCAACACGGCCTCGAAGACGAAGACGACGGTGAACACGTAGTTGCAGTACTTGAGAGCCTCGTCCAGCGACTGGGGCAGAGGTCAGGCTCAGGCGCAGCCCTGACCCGGCCGCCCGCCTCCCCCATGCCCTCTCTTGCCTCGCCCCTCTGAGCCCAGGCCCCCCGCCTGCACCCCAGGGCAGGGGTGGCCCCACACAGTGGAGCAGATTCAGACCCAAGGGCCAGGGCACCCCTTGCCCCCAAGGGGAGGAGAGGCGTCCTTTCTTGAATGGAATGACAGAGATGCAGGTGCAATCGGAGCAAAACAGAGAGCTGACCGCTTCATGCCTGCCTGCTGCCTGCCAGCTCTCTCAGACTACAAAACCCACGGCCAGGGCAGCCGGACTCGGGGACGCTGCACAGCCAGCCTCTCGGGAGGTGTCCTCACGGGGTGCGGAGGGCCCCCGGGGGGGGCAGGCACCCCGGGCAGTTCCAGCCAACTTTAAAGGGAGACCCTTTGCTCAAGCCATACTGCCGCGTTCCCCCTACACCTGGGACGGCTTGGCCAGGGCCACTGGCCTGGATCCCTACCACCTGGGGTCACTGCCCTGGCTGTGTGGCAGGCAGCGCAGGAGGGGCCTTGGCCACTGGGCCCCACCTTGGGCTGGTTGTAGTGCTCCACGGACATGGTGATGACGTTGACCCCGATGATGAAGGTGATGAAGAGGTCAAGGTAGTGGCTGGTGCACAGTGAGTGGATGGAGCGGCGGGGGGGCGAGTAGTCGGCGTAGTAGGGCCGGCGCTGGGCCTCTGAGGGGGAAAGGGGGCAGGTGAGCCGCAGAAGGCTGCAGCATGGGGCAGCTTGGGGAGCGCTGGGTGGAGAGCGGGGGTGGGTGGTGGTGCGGGGCTTGCAACAGGCTGAAGGAGAGGATCTCTCCCAGGTGGGGGTCCCTTCTAGGAAACAAGTGGCCCCTCGGAGTCTGAATTCTGCAGCTGGTAGGAAAACACGGGCTGGGAAGTCCGGGCGGGAATGGGCCTCAGGGTCAGGTCAGCAGCCCCTTGACTTTGGGCTCCAACACAGGGGGCCCCAGGAGTGGGCCTGGAAGCTGAGACCCCCTGGGCCCTGCCCAGACCCTGCCCTGCTGGGGGCTCCCAAGCGGGGGCCTTTGTGGTCCACTCTTCCTCCCAGGCTGGCGTAAGGGTTCAGAGACACCTGGACACCTGGAGCTTTCCTGGGCGGCAGGGCAGGGTGGCCGGCCCCTCCTCCGTCCCCAGTCTGGGCAGGCCCAGAGTACCCCCCAGCCCCGATCTCCGGTCGTCTGACGTTGATGGCCATGATCTGGGGGGTTTGTGCATCCCCCAGCAGGTCTGCCTGTACTAAATGCCCTGCCTGCAGGGACCCCTTTAGGGCACAGAAGCACCTGCTAAGCTCCCAGTGGGGCAGGGTGTAGCTGCCAGCACTGCACACAGGCACCAGCCTCAGCCACAGAACATGTGAGAGGCCAGCATGGTGAGAGCCTTGGCTGTGCCAGCGAGATGGCCCAGGGCCTGGGAGAGCAGGGACTGACAGGTGCCACCCTCCCTTGGACCCTCATGCTCTTAGGTCTGGCATGCAATCACTGCAGCTCTGAGAAGCCAAAGGTGCTAGTGGCCGGGCCAGCCAGGCCAGCACTGAGGACATGGAGCAGCCACAAGCCAGCGGTCAGGTGAGCAAGCCAGGCAGAGGGACAGAGAGCAGGCCAACCCGCAGCCCTGCGCAGTGGCGGGCAAAGCGGGAGACTAGAGCGTGCAGGCCTGGAGGCAGGTACCTGGGTTGGGGAACGTGCCTGCAAAGACAAGGAGATGGTCTGAGCCGGCCGCGGTGGGGTGGGGCAGGAACAGTCCTCATGGGCAGTGCTGGGGCAACACTCAGCAGCCCCCTCCTGCAGGAAGCCCTCTGCGCTAAGACCCTCTCTGTCTCGGATGGCTTTGCTTGTTTGCCCCGTGGCACGAGATCTCACAGGTGTGACTATGCCCCGGTAGGGGGCTGGGGTTACCGTTCACACCCTGTGGCACTTGGTGGGGGACTCATGCCTCCTGCTGCAGCGGCCCTCCTCTGCCCGGGCTCCTTGGAGGGCCCGCCCCCAGCAGACCCAGACAAGGTGGGCAGCATGCGGAGCCATCTGGGGGGGTGGGCGCCAGGCCCCCCACACTGGAGTGCCAGGGAGACCTGGCTGGGCCAGCAGCAGCTGTGGGTCCTGGAGCCCACCTGCCAGTCTCTGGTCCCCAGGCATGGGTGGGAAGGGGCCAGTGGGCACAGGTACCCAACCCGCCACCACCCCGAGCGCCTTACTCCTGCGTTTGCGCTCCAGGCGCCGCAGCCGCTTCTCCTCGCGCCGCCGCGCCTCCTCCGCCTCCTGGTGCTGCCGGCACTTGTGGAAGTTCTCCACCACCACGCCCACGAACATGTTGAGCACAAAGAAGCTGACGATGAGCAGGAAGGAGATGAAGTACAGCAGCATCCAGGGGTTGTGGTTGGGCTCGGGCTGCGGCACAGAGTGGCCCGTGGGTCCCCGCTGCCGGCGCCCCTGCCCTCCAGCCCACGGCTGTGGCGCTGGAGAAGGGGCTCCACGGGGACCTCCAGCGGGGCCGGCTCCCTGAGCTGACCGGGGGCACCTAGAGAGGGGTCCGCGCGCAGGGCCAGGCTGTTCTCCGCCCACGCACCTGCCGGTCTATGCCCACGGCGTCCAGCCCGTCGTACATGATGTTCACCCAGCCATCCTTAGAGGACAGCACGAACAGAGACATCAGCGCCTGCGCGGCCAGAGTGAGGGCGTCACCGCCCGCCCCGCAGAACCCCTGGGGGCACCCCCCGCGCCACCCCCGCCCGCGCTGCGGTCCCGCGGCTACGCCTCTCACAGCACCAGGAGCGCCTCGCTCCACGCGCCCCGCGCCGCCCACCTGGCCCAGGTTGTCGAAGTTGTACTTGCGCCGCACCCAGCGGTAGTGCGCGGCCCGGCACTCGGCCCTGGTGGAGATGTTCCTGGTGTCGGCGCCCTCACAGTAGTGGAACTTGCCCTTGAAGAGCTGACCAGGGCGTGGGGTCACCCGGAGCGCCCAGCCAGGCGCCGGCCCGCACACCCGCCCCGCGTGGGCCTCTGGGCAGCAGCCCGGGACCCCTGCGGACCCCCAGGGTGCGCACCTGCACACCCAGGATGCCGAAGATGACGAAGAAGGCGCAGCAAATGAGGACGATGTTTCCGATGGGCCTGAGGGACGAGATCAGAGTCTCCACCACCAGCTTGAGGCCCGGGGCGCGGCTGATGACCCTGCACACGGGCAGAGGGGAGGCGGTGTCGGGCCGCGCGAGGGAGCACAGAGACCCTGCCCCGCCGGAGCCCGCCCCCCCACCGCGCCCACCTCAGCGGCCGGAGCGTGCGCAGCAGGCGCAGCACGCGCAGTATGCCCAGGATCTTGGCACCACCTGCGGAGGCCATGGCCACGACGATGTCGACCAGGGACACCAGGACCAGCAGTCCGTCCAGCACGTTCCAGCTGCTCTGCAGGTAGGCGTGTTCCCCCGAGACCAGGCCCAGGGCCACCACCTGGCGAGGTGCGGAGGGGCGCAGGTGGGCACCCCGCCTTCTAGGGTGCGCGGCCGGCACAGCAGGTGAGCTACGGGGTGAGCTGGGCCACCGGGTGGGGCGGGCCCCTGGGGGCCGAGGGCAGGCCCGGGGCACTCCCGCCCACGCCAGTACCTTCACCATCATCTCGGCCACAAAGATCGCCGTGAAGATGTAGTTGGAGACGCTGAGGAAGACGCGCTCCTGCGGGGACAGGACGGTGGGAGGGGCCCGCCGCGCCCCCGCGCCCCCCCTCTCCCCCGGGCAGAAGGACGCCTCACGGTGCTGCCAGGGCCAATGTCGGGCCGCTCCAGGGCGATGGTGATGCAGTTCAGGAAAATGAAGACCAGGACGACGTGATCAAACATCTTGTGTGCAATGATCTTATGGCAGGAGACGCGGAACCTGGGGGGCGGGCGAGTGGGAGGCGCGCGGTCCGGCACAGCTCACCGCTCGGTGGGTAAACGGAGGGGCCCAGCGGGGACAGTGAGGGGAGCCACCCCCCCGCGTGCCCTCACCTGTTCTGCGGGGAGAAGAGGTACAGCGCCCAGGGCTCTCGCCTCTGACACCATTCTGGCTTGTAGGGCTCCAGCACCTTGTGCAGGCGTGAACAGCAGCTCTGGGGAGGTAAAGGGTCCTCAGGGCCCCTGGGTGAGTCCTGCTCAGCGCCTCCCCCCGACCATGAACGATGGTTCTGCTTCTGGGACCCGGCCCATGGCAGGCAGAGGGGGTGGGGGCAGCTGTGGATCTGGGCGTGGGGAGCGCCCCACTCACGTCCTCCACGTCGTCATCGAACTCAGCTGTGTCCCTGTGGCTGTCGATCCGCAGGAAGAACTCGCTGGGCAGGGCCAGCACTTGTCCGTTGCAGTTGTGGAGCTTGGCAGGCACCAGGGCGGCCGGTCGAGGGGGCCGCAGGTCCAGCGTGCTGCGGTGGTCCAGGGACTCGGCGCGCCCTGCCCGGGGCCTGCCGTCCTCTGCCTCCTCGTCTGTGCTGCCCTTCCCCTCACCAGACAGCAGGGACTCCCGCTCTCCGCACTGGCTGCGGCGCTTGAGGCTGGGCGCGCGGCCCACGCTGTTCCAGCTGGAGCGCCGGCTGCTCCAGGCGCTGTTGGGGCCCCAGTGGGCACAGGGCGAGCTGCGGAGGCTGGACTGTGGGGGAGAGGGAGGCAGTGAGCGGGCCAGCCCCCGGGGTGCTCCCCACAGTGGTATCACTGTTGATGCCCATGGGTGGCTGCAGGGCAGACAGCTCTATGAGGGAGATACTAGTGATTCGGCATTTTCCACAGGATGCCTGTGGGCACAACAGGTCCACGGGGAGCTGGAGGCAGCCAGCAAGGGTAGAGGCTGGCCTCTTGTGCCTGCTGGAGGACCAGACAGCACCACCCCTTCCTCAGGAGGTGCTCAACAGGCCTGGGACGGGCCCCTGGCCAGGCACCCTCAGAGCCGGCCTGCCAAGGGGTGGCCCCCACTTAGAACACAGCCTGCAGCCCGGGGGGTTTCTCCTGCTGCCCAGGTTCTCCCCATTATACCAGCTCCCCTCCTGGGTCTACTGAGCTGGGCTCTGAGCCCCGCTAAACTGCCCTGGCGGTTTAACCCCCTTGGGTTCCTAGCAAGGCCCCTAATCCCTCTGCCCGCCCTCCTGGGCCCTTCTGAGACGCTGGTCTGGGCTGGTTTCAGCTAGTCTGCTGGGGAGTGGGCATTTCCTGCATCTCTTCAGAGAGCCTGGGCTCAGCTCCGTAGGACCCTGTTCCCCAGGACTCAGTGACTTCCTTCGTGTCCCGCCTGCTGCTCCTAGACCTTCTCGGGGGCCTTGTTTTCTGCTGTTCCTTCTGCCCGCTTTTATCTATCGCAGCTTGCAAGGTGAACCCCCTGCCTGTCCTCCTACCAGAGGCCGGGACGGTGGCCCTGAGTTCCAGAAGCTCTGCCTGTGCTCTCCCGGCAGGAAACAGCTCTGGCCGAGACTCATGGGTGTGGCAGTAGGCATGTGGGGTCCACGTGCATCTCTGGGAAGGGCTGTAAGGAGCTGGGTGCCCTGGGGCTGCACGGGTGGCCTACCAGAGACTTCTGGTCTCCCAGCTGGGGGTCCGCAGAGCTGCCGCTGCCAGGACGTGAGTCCAGGAGGCCCTGGGCTGAGTCGAGGTGTGGGGAGCTCTTGGGTGTGGGCATGGGCGTGGCCGCCGTATGCATGATGAGGGGCGGGGGCAGGCTGCCTTGGCCTTCCAGGTGCCCGTTGGGGGTCACAGCCAGTGAGCACATCTTCATCTCTGCTGGGGGAGGGGGCTGCCTGAGCCTGCAGGGTTCCCGGGAAGGGGATGCCCCCACAGTGCCTCCTGCCCCCTGCCCCACCTGAACACGCATCTGTGGCCTGCAGGTCTCTGCACTTGTCAAAGTCCTCCTCCAGGCGGGTGGACGTCTTGTCTTCGTCGGAGTCTGATCTGTTGGCATCACCCTGTGCCCCAGAGAGCAGAAGACACGTGGGTCTCCTGTGTAGAAGCTGTCTGTGCTGAGGACCTTCCACAGAGCCCCCCACAGGAAGGCCTAGTCTGCAGGCGTGGTGAATGGAGGAATCCACCCTCTCCCTGTAGGTCTGGGCAGAACCCCCGACTTCACCCTGGGAGCCCCCCTCACCTCTCGCCCCTCACCTCCGCCTGGAAGCCCTCCACCAGGATGGCCACCAGCAGGTTGAACAGCACATAGTTGCCGAAGGTCATCAGGGCCACGAAGTAGAGGGCGGCCCAGGAGGAGGTAGAGGCCATGCCGTTGTAGAGGACAACATTCCAGTCCTCCTGGGTGAGGATCTGAAGGAGAGGGTGGTGGGCAGAGAAGGCACCAGACCCAGGGGCACAGGAGGGTGCTGGGGCAGCTCACCCCAGCTATGAAAATGCTGGCAAGCCCCTGGGACCAGAAGCTCAGTACCAGTGGGAACACATGGCCATTCCCAGGGGACAGAATTGACGGCCCTATGGCTATTCACAGCTTCTCACCCACTTGAGCCTCACATAGGCTGAGGGATGCTCTGGGGTGGCTATGAGCAGGGCTGTGACCCCCCTGGGGATCCCCACTTACATTGGGGGCTGCCCCTGCCCAGGCTTTACCTGGAATACAGTGACAATGGCCCACAACAGAGAATCAAAGTTCTTCCTGTCAGGGACTGTGTCTCCGGTGTCAGTCTTCAGGCTGAACTTGCAGCCAAAGAGGTGCATGCCCAGGATGCTGATGGCAGGAGGCAGGCTGCAGTGAGCGGGGGGCAGGGATGGGGGCACCTCTGCCTGCCAGCCTGGCACCCAGTGGCGGCTCCTCCATGCCTCCCACTCTGGCTTACCAGGACCTCCCACTGCCCATGGCTGAGCTGTTTCCCATTCTGCACGTGGGGAGACCAGGACCAGGACTGGGAGGGACAACCAGAGGACACACTGCCTCCAGACAGTGGCTGGGACCTGCGGCGCCCGCCTCACGCAGCCAGCCTGGGCTGCCCTCCGCCCCAAACCCCTCCCCAAGGTCTAAGCCCCAGGCCAGGCTGCCATGCAGCAGCCACTAAGCCAATAGCCACGGTCAGTGGCTGCCCTGCCCCTCCTCCCATCCCACCCTTTTCTTCTCCACTCTTCTTGGGCAGTCCCCTGTCCATCCACCTGGGGGTCTGCTCACCCCCTACTCGCTGTGAGCCCAAAGGAGCAGAGCCCAGCCTGGGGTCCCACATGCCTGGCTGGCACACAAGGGGCCTCGGGTGCTGCTTGAGGGGAGGAATCTGTGGATGGGCTTTGCAGACACTTTAAGGCTCCTGGCCACCTGGCCCCCTGCACCAGGAGCACAGGGCCAGCAAGATGGGGAAGGACCCGCAACCTTGTAGCGGGTGGGCACCCTGCTCCGGGCCTCATTCCCAGCACCCCCACGAGCAGATGGCCAGGCGGGCAGCCCACCTGAAGATGAAGATAAAGAGCATGAGCAGCATGCAGAAGGTGGCCACATTGTCCATTGTCTTCACGAGCACCACGAGCTGGCGCCGCAGCGCAGGCATGAAGCGCACCAACTTCAGCACCCGCAGCAGCCGGAAGGTCCGCAGCACCGACAGGCCGCCGTCCGCCTGCCCGATGATCTCCCAGACGCTGCGGGCCGGGGCTGAGTCAGAGTCTGCTCTCTGGCTACGGGTCCCTGCACCTGTCCTGATCCTGGAAGCAGGGATGCCAGCCAGGGAGCCACTGTGGCCTTTGCCGAACCCCACGACGGGAGCAGGCTCAGCTGCATCAAGGTGCTCTGGGCTGCGGGACTGTGACATCTCCCAAGCCGCCTAATAGCTGCCGTCCCTGGTGGCTGCCCAGCCCCGAGGCTTCTCGGTCAACGGCCTTCCCCCATCCTGTCTGGCTTGTCTGTGTGGCTCAGCTACTCCCCGCTAGGCTCCCAAGGGGGACAGAAGGAAACCCTGACTCTCCCCTCTTTCTCTGTGGTTCTGCTGCAGCAGGCAAGTGGGCCCTCCTGGCTGGGGCTGAGCCCTAAGTGGAGTCCAGCCTCCGGGCTGAGCAGCTGCTGGGTGCCCACTCTGTTCCAGCAGGGAACGGCTCCATCAGGTTCTGGACACAGCGTGTGAAACGCACGTGGCCTGACAGTGCCTGCAGGGAAGGACAGCTCCCGGGAGGGGGCTCTGCCCAACATCCCATCTCCATAGCCTGTCAGCGCCGCAGCCAGCAGTGCTTTCCACCCTGCCAGGGCTCTGCCCTCTGGGGGTGGCTGCCCGCCCCTGGGGCTACCCGGGCCTGCAGGCGGGGCAGGAGCCAGGCACACACCTGATGACCACGATGACGCCGTCAAAGATGTTGTAAGGGCTGCGGACGTAGCCCAGCGGGCCGCAGGCCAGCAGCTTGAGCAGCATCTCCAGGGAGAACACGCTGGTGAACACGATGTTGCTGACCTCCAGGGCGTTCGTCAGCCCATCAGGCTGCAGGCAGGGGGAGCGTCAGGGCCCGCCATGGCACCCACCCCTCTGCGGCAAGCGAGGCTGTAGCCCCCACGACCTGCATGCAGGTGAGGCTGCATCAAGGTGCCCAAGGGGGAAATGAGGAGCTGTGACAACATCCCAGAAGGAACCTAACGGCTGCTCTCTGGAGGAGAAAACTGGGACCCCAGAGATGTCCCTTCCAGTCCAGTGGGGCCCCAGCCCTACCCACTTGCTGCCCCGGCTCTGAGGCCCTGCCTGATTTTCCCACCGGTGTGTCTGAGCACTGGGGCTCTGTGGACTCCGTGGCCCTGCAAAATGCAGGTCACAGAAACAGGGTCCAGGGCATTTGCACCAGGGTTCCAGCATGGGCTGGGAGTGGACGGCACCTCCAAGCATCTGTTCTGGCCCCTGGGGCCTCTCATACCTGTCCTGCTTGGCAGAAGGCACCAGTGGCCTCTTCTGTATGTGCTGGCTCACCTGAGCACGTGCCTGCCCGTGCATAACACACATGTATGCGTGTGCACATGACCTGCGTATGCACATGTGCAGGGGCCCTTCCCACCAGGCAGCCCTTTGAGAAGGCCCATTGCTGCCCCTGCCCTGGAGCTCACCGTCAGAGAACCTCCCCACCCAGGGCCTACTTAAGGCCACCTGTGGGATCTTCCCTAAATTGCTCCAGGATGAAAGAAAATAGCCTAGTAACAGGGAAGCCAGAGGGTGGGAGATGAAGATGCCCTGCCCCTGCCACCCCAGCCACCAAGCCTTCCTGCGAGGCCCAGCCCAGGGAGATGGAAGCATTCGTTGAGTGACGACTGATAGAAATTCCCACCAGAGAGCGTCGAGCTCCAACACCATCTCTGTTCCCCACGGCCCCTCCGAGGCCCTCAGAGCCTGGAATCTCAAGGAGACGCACAGAGGCTGCTCCCCAAGGTCATGATGCTTGCCCTGGCCCAGGCGGACAGCCACCCACACAGGCCCACTCCACCTCCCAAGGGTCGCAGGCAGGAGCACGGTAGGGCCCGGCCACCCCCACGCCTGCCCACCTGCTCGTGGTGCTCGACACCCATGCTCAGTGTGTTGGTCAGGATGGCCACCATGATGCCGCGGCTAAAGTACTTGCTGCCCACGACCCGGCGCAGCTCTCCGCTGACGGTGGTCCAGACGTGGACCAGCCCGCTCCGCTCGCCCGAGGCTGCCTGCCGCCGCGCCTGCCGCCTCGCACCAGCCCGGCCTGGCATGTCTGCTGCGGGCAGCGGCTGCGCGGGGTCGCGGTGGTCTCCGTGTTGCACGTCCCGTGTGAACTCGTAGACGGCATGGCCATCTGAGTCCCCACTCTCTGAGTCACTGAGCTCAAACTTAGGGTCCTCCAAGGCACTGGCACAGTACGGGCAGTTCCTCAGCTCACAGGTCAGAGTGCCCGCCTGGGGGCTGGGCAGGGGGCAGGGCACGCTCAGGCCCGACAGGCGGCTGGGTGCCCGGCCCAGTCCTGCAGGGAGAAGGGCACAGGCAGGGTCAGGCTGCTTAGCGGCTACACCTGTGGCTGGGACCCACATGCATGCGGAGGCTCACGTGCATGCCTGGGCACATGTACCTGGTCGCTTGTGGGCACCCATGCACCTAGGGAGGGAACACACACCTGGGCACACTCACATGCACCCCACACAGGTGCAGCCCTGTGTGCACGGGGCAGGACACAAGGGGCAGAGAAGCTTGTCTGCCCTGGGGCCTCACTGTCTGCAGAACTGCAGGGCCAGCCACTTTCTAGGAGCCACGCTGAAACGAGTGAGGATTTGACGTACCTGCCGAGGCTTTGCCACTCCGACTCTGGAAGGCTGTAAGAATCTCCAGGAGCCGGTACCCCATCTCCTCCCTCCTGCTGACTCTGGGACCCAGGGCACACTTCACACAGACAGCTTCATACCTCAGCTCAGACTCACCACAATTCCAGGGCCCCGTGAGACCAGGGCCACTGGACTTGCCGGCCTGCACACCTGTGGGCATGGCACATGCCCCTACCCACTCCAGGCGCACCTTGGTCTATACCTGCCCGTGCCCCAAGTGTTTGCAGGTGACCTGGCTGCCTGGGGGTCAGTCCCGGTGCCCCTCCCCCAAGTGCTGTCCAAGTTGGGTGAAGCTGAGGCCCTGGGGGGAGGACTGTGTGTGTGTGTGGGGGGCATCCAGCCCCCAGAGACTCTGATCTCGATTTCTCCCTCCTGCCCAGCTCCAGCCTCCCCACCTAGAAAGGGGGTTGGCTACTCCTCGGGAGAAGTGGACAGGCTGTGGACATGGCTTACAGCTCCTCCTGGGGCCAGGTGGGGGCAGTGGTATGCAGGCCTGGTGAGTGTGATGCGTTTTCTGCCAGCTATGGAATTCTCAGGCTCATGGCAAACACTAGGGTGCCACTTACCTGGCCCAGGGTTCCCTCCCTCCCACCCCTTCCTCCAGGGCTCATGAGGAAAAGAAGACCTCCCTGGAGGGTACACAGGTGGGGACACCCCAGGAGTCATCTCCCCAGCCCCGGCCCAGCCCCAGTGCCAACCCCTCCACGAGGCAGGGCTGGGGTCCTTACCATGTTCTCCCACCAAGTGCTGGATCTTCTCACAGGGGTTGGGGCTGCTCAGGCTCAGGGGACTGTGCCCCCCAGTGCCCACCGGCCCACTGGCCCACTTCCTCTTGGGCCCAGGGCTGGTGCTGTCTTTGCTAACGCCCACTGCCGAGGGCAGGATGGTGGGGTAGTTCATGGCACCCAGACCTGTGGCCAGCTTCAGGCCAGCAGCGGTGGTGGCCGCGGCATGTGCCACCCGGGCCCTCTCCTGTGGCCCCTCCACATGGCAGTCTGCATGGTACACGCTGTGCACAGACTCAGTGTCAGGTGGCCTACGTCCTGGCAGGGGTGGCGAGGGCAGCGCTCCGGCCCGCACCAGTCTGTTGTCCCCAGCGCCCGGCTCGGGGCCAGGCCGGCGTGGGCTGCCATGGCTGAAGTGGTAGTGGTGGTGGTGGTGGTGGTGGTGGTGGTACACCAGGTGGTGGACAGAGGCTGCTGCCCGCCGTCCTGCCCGCTGTGGCCGCCGCCCAGGCCCCTGGCCGTGCAGGGTGCTGCTGGGGTCCACCTTCTTGCACCAGCGGCTCTGCCAGCGTGCATAGAGGCGCAGAGCACGCCGCTTGGCCTTGCGGCAGATGTGACCCACGTACTTGAGCAGCTCCTCGTAGCAGCTGCCTGGCTCTGAGAAGCTGGCCAGGGTGCTGGCGTCGGACAGGCAGCGGGCGCGCTGCTCCCTCATGAGCCGGCTCTCCCGCTGCTTCGTCTCGGAGAACTGCGTGGCGATCACCACCAGGCACAGGTTGATCATGAAGAAGGAGCCCACCTGCGCGGGCGGGTGCTTGCCGTGAGTCCTGGCAGGAGGCCCACGGCCCCGTCCTCGGGCTCGGGGGGCCGGAGGAGGGCATGCGGGGGCCCTCCTGGGGCAGCGGCTGTGGCTCCTGCGCATCGGTGACGGGCGGGGTCCTGCTCGTCAGATGCCGAGCCGGGCTCCCGGCCGACCCCGGGAGCAGGAGCTCAGGGACCTGAGAGACGCCGTCCCAGCGCCAACCGCCGGCACCGCGGCCGGGGCCGGCCAGCCCACCCACCCCGGGACGCGCCTGGTGCCTCCACTCACGATGATGAGCAAGATGAAGTAGATGAAGTTGTAGAAGGAGTGCGCGTCCATGACGTAGTACATGATGTCCACCCAGCCCTCCAGCGTGATCACCTGGGCGGGGGGCAGGCAGCTGGGCACACGGACGGGGCGGCCCTCCCGGCCTGGGCACCCTGGGGCTGGGCTGCGGGGCAAGTAAGCCCTACCCCCTGAGGCCACGGGCGCTCGCCCACCTGGAAGATGGCAATCCAGGCGTAGCCGATGTTGTCGAAGTTGATGGCGCCGTTGTGCGGGTTGGAGCCGCCGGCGCGGCACACGTTGTAGTACTGGTTCCAGTTGATGCAGGCGTTGCGGCTGCCGCCCGCGCCCTCGGCCTGCGGCTGCCCGAGGGCCTCCCAGCCCAGCGTGCACTCCACGCGGAGCTCGCGGCGGCTGGGGATGTGCGAGCACTTCTGCATGCCGTTGTCCCGGCGCGCCGAGCAGATGAAGGGGTTCTCCTCGCCTGCTTCCGTCTGGTAGTACGGCCGCAGGAAGCTGAGGTTGTTGTTCCTGGTGGGGCGGGCCGGGCGGGCACGCGGTAGGGGAAGCGGGGGCACACGGCGGGGAGACGGGGAGAGACGGGGAGACGGGGGTGACGAGGGGAGCCAGGGAGAGACAAAAAGACAAGCAACAAGAATATTAAAAAGGAGAGACACACAAAAAAGATAGACCGACACTCAAGCCCAAGCACGGGCCTTTCCGAAAATAGGCGTGTCCGCGGGCCGGGGCGGTGGGGGCGGGCCCGAGGGGGCGGGGCCTGGGCAGGGCAGGACCTGGGGGCGGGGCCGGAGAGGGGCGGGCCTCGCACCTGACGAAGGCGCTGTCCAGGAAGCAGCGGTTGCGCAGCAGGCCGGCCCAGAGCTGGACGCCCACAATGCCGAAGATGAAGAAGACGAAGAAGCAGAGCAGAAGGACGTTCCCCAGCATGGGCAGCGTGTCCAGCAGCAGGGTTACCAGGATGCGCATGCCTGCAAGCGGCAGGACGGGGCCGGCTCAGCGGAGCCCTTGGGCCCCAGCGCCTCCCGCGAGTACCGGACGCGGGCCTGCAGGGCCCACACATCCAGCCCAAGCGGCAGGGGCGCCTCAGACCCACAGAGGGAGCAGGGCTGCGGGCTGGGTGGGGGAAGGGTCTCAGAGCGGGTGGTCCCTGACCCTGCTGAATGACAGCCTGCTGAATGACGGACGGGGACTAGGCACATACAGGCCCTGGGGGCCGGCCTGGAGTCCTGTGGCTCCAGTCTCTGTCCTGGAGGCAACAGCCTCGGGGAGCCCCCAGATCAACTCTGGGGTGCCCCCTGTGCTCTGGAGCCTGGGGTCTCGCAGTAGCTCTGGTCCAGGGGCAGCACCCATGTCAGTCACGCTGTAGCAGAGCCCCCTGCACTGGAGGGGAGGTGGGGGCTGCATGCACCCCTAGGACGGGCTTTTGGAGAGGCCGTTTTGAGGCCCTTGTTGCTGGGCACTGTGGGCCACGTTAACGCAAATTGACCCAAGCAGCTGGTCAGCCTCGCTCACCCAGTCCTGGCCCCTCCAGACCTCCTCTGGGCCTGTGGGCTAGTTGAAGGAGGCAGGTGCTGAGGCCTCATGGAGCAGAACTCTGGGGGTGGCAGATGGCACAATGGGCGCTTGGGGCCACAGTGGGTGTCTCACAGCCAGGAGGGGGACTGAAGTTTCAGAAGTGGCCGAGAGAGTAAGATTCACCAGGGACAGTCAGTGAGCACTGCTGCGGCCAGACAGCTCAAAGGTCACAGGTGTCACAGGGTCAGAGTGGGCCTCAGGCAGCCAGATGAGGTGCAGCCCTGAAGGTGACCATGTGGGGCTCGTCTGGCAGAGGTCCCTGGTTTGGGACAGGGGCATGTCCCCAGAGGCAGGCTGCTGGTGGCAATTCTGGCCTCTGTGGGAGATCATCTGAAAAACGGGCACCTGCGCGATGGGCTGGGCCGTTAGTTCACAGCTCTGAAAGGCAGGTCCAGGCGAGCAAAGTGTGGGGGTGTCAGGCACAGAGCCAAGCATGGCCACTTTGTGGGTGCCACCAGTGTCCAGCTGTCACAGCTGGGGAAATGGAGGCTCAGAGAAGTTCAGAAACTTGCCCGGGTTTGAGCCCTATCTGACCTCTGACGGTAGAGCCAGTTGGGCAGGTGGAAGGTAGGGCCAGAGCCCGCAGCACAACCTTGAGCCACCCACCCTTTGGTGGAGCTGATGGCCCGTGGGGGAGGGCGAACCTGCCCTGGGGGGGTGTCCCTCTTAGGGGTGCTGCAGGACAAGCCCTGACCACCCAGAGCCTGGGTGCTGAGGCCACCAGGGCCCAGGCCAGGCACCTGAAAGGCCATATGCGCAGCTACACAGTACACGCAGACCCCTCCCCACCTCACACACACACCTGCACTTGACAGTCTTGTGGCCACAGCACTGAACACTCTGGGGACAGAGAAATCATCCCCCTGTGGGGGAAGGTCAGTGCTAATACAGGCTGTTTTCTCAACAAGCATCCATGGACTTCCCAGAAGCGTCTGGAAGCTTCCCTGCAGCACCAGACCCTTCCAGCAGAGCTCGGAAGTGAGAATCTCTCAGGCCAGAGAACAACGCCACCAGGGCCTGCGCAACCCCTCTGGGAGGACCCGGACTGCCGTGCAGATGAGGACTCTGAGGTTCAGAGTGGCCCCTGTCACTCAGCAATGCTAGGGGGAGCCAGGTCCCGTGCAGCCTGCCCATCAAACCCCAGCTCAGGCCAGGGGTGTTCTGTCCTCCCAGAAGAAAAGCAGCAAATCCTCAAGGACTCTACTCGAGTGGCAGGAGGCCACCCCTCCTCCCCCAGGCTTGGGGTCTATGCTGGGGCTACAGCATCCAGAAGCCACGTGGGCAGCATGGCCTTCTGGTTCTGTGAACCCAGGGTGTCCTTGAGGGCACTCAGCAGGGCTGGCAGCACACACAGGCCTGTCCCAGGCCCAGGTGGGGGGGGGGCTGCTTACTGGGCACACGGTTGATGGCGCGGAGGGGCCGCAGCACGCGCACTGTCCGGATGGCTGACAGGCTGACGTTGTGTCCGTCCAGAGAGTACTCCATCATGCTGGGGCGGACAGAGTGGGGGACGGCTTGGGGGTGCGCACAGACTCTCGCCAGGGCAGGGGCAGCGTGGCCCTGGGGAGCCACGGGGGCCCTGCACTTACCCCATACCTGTCCCTCTGTCCCTGCTGCTGGCACAGGGGCCCCAGGACGAGGCTCCCGCCCACAGCCACCTCCCAGACCGGGTCCCACCCGGACTCCGCCAGGGTGTACCCCCCAGCCCTCTTCCTGGGGAGCCCCACAGGCCACCACCGGGTCCGAGGGGGCTGGACTCCCGGCCAGGCTGGCCAGTGCAGAGGCTGCTCCTGTGCTGCAGGCGGGACGAGGGCTCACCCCGCCACAACGATGAAGAAGTCCAGTCTGTTCCACGTGTCGCCCAGGTAGCACCTCTGCCCGAACAGTCCCAGGGCGGTCATCTTGATGACCATCTCCACCGCGAAGAAGGCGAAGATGAAGGCGTCGAAGGCCTGGCGGGAGGCGGGGCCTGAGAGCACGGCCTACGCCCCCGCGCCCGGGGTGCCCCGAGGGCCACCGCGCGCAGGCCCACCCGCCGCCGCCGCCCACCTCCAGGGTGCTGCAGCGCTCGGAGCGGCACTCCAGGTCCTCGCAGGGCCGGAACATGCCCAGGGTCACGCAGTTGAGCATGATGACCAGCATGCTGACGTGCTCGAACCACGTGGAGCGGCGCCGAGTTAAGGGTCCGTGCGAGAGGCTGGAAACGGCCGCAGGGGGCAGAGGGAAGCAGGTCCCCACCCCACACCAAGGCCCCCACCACCCGCCAAGCCCTTCAAACCCCTGCACCCGCCCCATCAGCCTGGCGTTAAGGGACAGAGCCCTGACACGGCCCCTGGGAGCCTGCCAGGGCCACCCCACAGGCCGCTGGACGCTGCTGCCAGCCCGAGCCCAGAGGCAGCCCAGGCGGGGAGCGGGGCCCTGGCTGGAGGAGGCTGGAGAACAGCCCCTGCCCTTCTGCCAGGTTCCCCACTCCAATGCCCTAAACCGAGGTCAGACATGCCAACGAGCACCACTCAGTCGCGGATGCCCGCAAACTGGAGGGGAGCCCCAGAGCCCCTCCCCATGCCCTCCACGACCCCCCCACATTCCTCCAGCAGGGGGATGCCCCGACCGCAGGGGCAGGATGTGAGCCACTGGGCCCGGAGGGCTCTCAGCTCTGCTGTGTGCCTGGGGGAGGGGGACAGCAGATGAATGACGCCCACCCTCAACCTCCACCCCAGCCGGCCAATCGTCTTGGGAGTGAAGGTCGCCTGTCCGAGTGGGCTTATCCAGCCTCCCTGCTGGCAGGAGGGCATCCAGACTGGGGTGGGGGCCTCAGGCAAGGGGCTGCACCCACGTGCTCTGTGCACCCAGCACTGGAGCCTTGGCCACCCTGCAGGGCTGCTGGCTCTGGGGAGGAAAGGCCACCAGGCCCTCAGCAAGAGCGCCCGGCCATTCGGGGAGTGGCCACCAGGGGGCGCTGTGGCTCCACGCAGGCCGCAATCTCCAGCCCACTTGGCTCAGGAAGAAACTGGGGGTCCCTGTGATGGGCCATCAACGCCAGGGAGGGGCTCTAGGCTGCCTGGATGTAGGTGGGGACCCCCAAGTTGAGCGGCTGAGGCTCCACCCAAGCCTCATGGATGTGGGCAGGTGCCCCTCGCGGCTGGGAGGATCCCCTCCCACCAGGCCCACCGGGTCCCCAGGGCGGGCTGCCCTTAGTTGGGGGGGACAGGGGTAGGAAGGAGGCGGCCTGCAGCCCCCAAGGCCAGGCCCCTGCCCCCGCTGGAGCTGGAGCTGGTGGGAGAGAGGCGTCACTTGGAGAACACTGCTCACCAGCAGACAGCACAGGGGATCCTGTGCCACGGACCTGTGGGGGCCGAAGGGGGTCCAGGAGCAGGCTGTGCACCCTTACAAGACCCCCCCGGGTGCCTGGCCGACTGGGGGCACTGGGCCTGGGGGTCCGTGTGGCCCTGTCTGCGACGGCTCTGACCCCAAGGGCAGCTGAGACAAATTGGCAGAGGCTGTGCTGACGGGGCATCAGGGAGGGGATGAGGCCAGAGCCTCTATACTTACAGGTGGACAGGTTCGGTGACGGGGGGCAGTGGGAAGGGCAGGCAGTGCTGTGCGTGGTCCCCCGGCATCCCACGCTGATCCCTCTCCCCACAGCCTCCCGGGCAGGGTGGGGGTGCAGCATGGCGCCGGGCCACCAATGTAATCACACGCTCCCGTGGGGAGCGCCATAACTACACTTAATGGGTTCAGCGGTAACAAGTGCTCTTGCTACGATGTGGCTGCGGGAAAACTGAAATCAGCCTCCTGCTGAGGCAGCACCAAGGCCGGCCCCCAGGTCCTGAGACGGTGTGGCCACATGCTGGCCCAGGTCCACACAGAACTGGGGCCTCTGGGCGTGGCCCCTGGGTGGCGCTGAAAGCATGCAAACACCTCCAGTGCGCCTCCTGGGGCTCCCCGCCCCAGCACCACATCCTGGGGGCCTCAGGTGGGTGCTGTGCAGGCCCCCGGCATGGACTGCCATGGGTGCGCCCCTGGAGAGGATGTGCACGGGGACTGGCTCCATGTGTCTCCAGGGGCGGAGTTCTCCCCATAAACAGGAGGCCCTGGAGGAAGAGCAAAGGCCGCCCAGACCTGCATGCAAGGGACAACCCCACGTGTCCACTGGGCTAGGCGTGCCACACGGCAGGGGCGCAGCAGCTCTGGGCCGGGTGGGTGAAGACGGGGCAGAGTGGGGAACACATCCCGGCCTGAGTACCCCGACTCCAAGATCTGACTGGACACCTGGCCGTGCAGGTGCCTCAGGGGAGCAGCCTATCCGTCCAGAGGGCATGGAGACCCTTCTCTGACCCTCTTCTCCAAGCTCTCCTTGACCCCATGGGCTTCTGGGCTGGAGACCCCTGCCTCCCTGCGAACATCCTGCTCCAGCACTAGGGTGCCCAGCCCTGTCCGCCCCCGGCTCTTCCCTACTGATGTCTCCACCTGCTGCCTGGTTTCTCCCAGGCCTGAGCCCGCAGGAGCCCTCCTGCAGGAATGCCTGGGCCAGGAACGTTGCCCAGAAACAGTGCACCCCACCGTCAGGTAAATATTCATGCTCTCCCTGCACCTGGCCCAGACGGGGTCCACCAGCTGCCCTCCCACCACTTGAAGATTTGCAGCTAAGCCTTGTGGTGGGCCGAGTTCTGGACCCCAGAGTGGAGGGAGGGCGGGTGGAGATGGAAGGGGCACGCACAGGCACAGGCATCTCCTGGTCTGCAGGATTCTGGCAGGGGACCGGCCCCAAATCCCCAGAGCTGCCATCTGGCAATGCTGAGGACCTCAGCCCTCAATGACGGCATGGACATGTCCAAGTCCCTGCTGGCCCGGGCCGGGACCCGCCACAGGTAACTCAGGTGAGGGACTGGGGAGCTGCTCCCCTGTGGGAGCCACAAACCAGACCCCCCAGCTACTTGAAAAGACAGCCTGGCTGGCGGTCCCTGGACTGGGGCTCTGCCTCAACACCTGCCCAAACTACTGATAAGTAAAGCACCCCAACCAACCTTGGCTTCCACCTCACCTGCTGGCCCTGGGGGTCCTGGCCTGCCTCCCTGCTCATGAGGCACAGCCTGGGAGCTCAGCACAAGTGACCCCTGGGGGTCCGAGAGCCCAGCGGTGAGGCCATGAACACAGACCTGTTCGAGAAGTGGGAACACCGCTGGGGCAGCTGGGATGACCGACCTGGTCCACATGGCCCCAGCACCCAGAGGGTTCTCCATCTGTCCCTGCTATCACATGCCCTTTGGGGGGGTCACTCTCCCCACAATGCAGCCCGAAACACACCTGGGAGGGATAAGGACCTTGCCTGGGGTTGTGCAAAGGTCACGCGCACGTGAGGCTCTGGAAGCACCCTGGAGAAGCCCTGCGCTTCCTGCCCTGGGGAGGGGCTCCAGGTACCCAGGTTCCCCAGGGCTGTCAGGCCTCCAGGGCGCATGGGAATGGCAGCCTCTGGTCCCATGAAGCTGCCCCCTGATACCCTGCTGGGCAGCTGAACACAGGCAGTGCCAGCCAGCTATGTA